CGGTCCCGGCATGTTACTCTTTTCTCGATCGCTCATTGGAGGCCGAGGAGGTTCATCTCGAAGTAGAGCGTCGCGCCGCCGGGGATGATGCCGCCGGCGCCCTTGGCGCCGTAGCCGATCTCGGATGGGATGACGACGCGCCGCGTGCCGCCGACCTTCATGGTCAGCAGCGCCTCGTCCCAGCCCTTGATGACGCGACCGGTCCCGACCGCGAACGTCAGCGGCTTGCCGCGATCGTAGGACGAGTCGAACTTGCCGTCGAGGTCGTCGAAGTCGTTGAGCCAGCCCGTGTAGTGGACCTTGACCGTCTGGCCCGGCGCGGGCACGGCGCCGTCGCCCTCCTTGAGGTCCTTGAACTGCAAGCCGCTCTCGGTCTTCGTGAAGCCGTCGGCGGCGGAGGCGAGACGCGGCAGCGCGGCGGCGCTCGCGGCGACGCCGGACACGAAGTGGCGCCGCGACGACGGCTTCATGGCGCTCGCCGACGCCAGCATGGCGAGCGCGAGGCGGAGTGCCTGTGCCAGCATCATCTCGAACAGATCGAGCTGAAGCGCTCCCGAAGTCAGCGCCGGGGGTCGGAGGCATCGGTAGGCTATCGGTCGGGCCTCGGCGCGCGCTCACTTAGACGAGGGCGTCCGCTTGCCGAGGGGCGAGAAGGGGAAGCCCGACGTCGCCTTCTTCTTCGCCGGCGTCGCCGGCGGGCTCGTCGGCGGCGGCGAGAAGTCGTAGGGCGCGATGTCGCGGTGCCTCGCGCGGAGCGCGGAGGAGCCGCTCCCGGCGAGCCCGTTCGTCGCGCAGCACCAGAACATGTCGGCGAAGTTGTCGTCGCGGGCGTCGAGCACCGTGACGTCGTCGCGCCGCGGCCCGGTCCGGTGCGCCGCGGCGGGCGCCGGGTGGAGGTTCGCGAGGAGCGACTCCGCGATGTCCTCCTGGCCCCGCTCCAGCGCGAGGGAGATGGGGTCGACCTTGGGGTCCTCGCGGCGCCGGCTCAGGGACGCGCCGGCGCCCGCCGTGAGGAAGACGCGCACGGCGATGACGTCGTTGCAGTTCACCGCGTGCCACAGAATCGTCCGCTTCTTCGCCTGGACGGCGAAAGAGCGATTCAACGTCGCTTCAACGTGAGTGTTTCGCGCGCGCGCGTTCCGGAAAAAAGCCCACGCTTTGAGGCCGTTCCGAGAGATGATCGCTCGTCCAAAAATCAGCCGAAACGAGTGGAACACGGCCGAGAAAGGAGCCTTTGAAGTCGGGCATGTCGCTCTCTTGTGCCGCCCTGCTCTTCGCGTCCGCGCGGTCGCAGAGGCACGCGCGGCCGTGCTCCCGCAGGCCGCAGGTCACGCGGCTCAGGAGCATGTCGACGTCCATCTTCGACGCCACGGGGATGAGCGCCGCGATCCGGCCCATGACGCGGTCCTTCCGGAAGGCCCGCGCGCACTCCTTGCACTCGGCGGCGCTCGGCGGCAGCGCGCGCGCGAAGTCGAGCGGGAGCGGCGCCGGCCGCGGGCTCGCGGACCGGCTCCGGCGGCTCCCGTGGGCCTCCTCGTCGTCGCTCAGCGCGTCGCCGGCGACGTCCGGATCGCGGTCGTCGTAGCGGATGCTGTAGACGCCCTCCGCGGGGGAGCCCGACCGCCGCCGGCCCTCGCTCACGCGCTCGATGGGCACGCTGCCCCGGCCGCCGTACTCGTCGTCGAAGTCCTCGTCGAGGACCGTCGAGTCGAACTCGCCGGGCCGGTCGCTCTCCTCGGCGCCGAAGCTGCACGTCAGGAAGCTCACGCCGTCCTCCGGCGACGCGCTGCACGTCAGGAAGCTCATCCAGTCCGTGCCGCTCTCCCAGGCCGCCATGCCGCCGACGTCGGCGGCCGCGACGTTCTCGTGGCTGCCACCGAGCACGCCGTGTTGTCCACAGCGAAAAGAAACTCCTTGATATTATCGAGTGCAAGTTGGCTGCGTTGCACCCCATTCGTAAAAGTTTATGGTTCGGGCTGCGTAGCGATGCCGCCACAGCCAGCCCCCGCGGGAGCCCTGCTCAACAAATCGGTCCTCTGGAACGAAGAGTGGCGCAGCTCGGTGGGCTCGAAACCAAGGCCGCTCTGGGTCTTGCCGCCGGGCTCACACGATGGTCCAGCAGACACCTACAAAGTGAAATGGAGCGAGCGCGGCGGCGGATACAGCCACAACTACGCCGACGCAGAGGACGTGCGCGACGACGAAGCGGCCGGGCGCGCCGCGCGCGCGCAGGACGTCGACGCCGGCGGACCGCCGGCCGCGGCCGAGCCGTTGAACGAGGGCCTGCGCCTCCTCGAGGCCAAGGATGCGCGCATCAAGGTCGTCAAGAAGGAGCGCGATGAGGCCAAAGAAGACGCGGAAGAGCAGGAAGAGCTGGCCGGTCAGCTCGTCCAGTCGGAAAACGCAAAGATGACGCAGATCGACGAGCTCAAGACCGCGGTCTCGCGCAAGGACGCGCGCATCGGGGAGCTCGAAACGTCGCTCCAGGCGAAGGACGAGACGATCGCGGAGCTGCGCGGTCGCGTGGCCGAGCTGGAGAGTAAAGGCGTACCTGCGCAGGAGCCGGAAGTCCCGCCACCCACCGCGACGTGGGCCGCGGGCGATCGCGTCCGCGCTTTCTTCGACCGCCAGCGAAAGCTCTACCCCGCGGTCGTCGCCAAGGTATACGGTGACCGCACCTACGACATCAACTATGATGACGGCGACCAGGACTTTCGGTTGGAAGAGGAATACGTGCGTCCCCCGGCAAAGCGCACAGCTCCAGAGTCCGCCGCGGAGCCAGCGGCGAAGAAAGCGACAACCGCCAAAAATCTTCGCAGGCGAGGAAAGGAGCCACCACCTTGCAAGCGTTGCGGACAAAAAGATCTTGAGAGTGATGGCTCGATGTGTTGCACAAAATGCAGAATTTGTAGAAAAGGCACCTGTGTGGATTACGACGACAGTGTTGACCACCGTATTCTTTGCTTCAGCTGCTACGGTGTTACCCACACAAACTGTATGATCAATATTTCCTGTGGTGTTTGTGGTTTTACTGTGTGTGAGGATTGTGACGATCTCCTATCAATTGGTTGCGGGGCTGACGGCTGCGATATGCCTCGGTGCCCATCTTGTGCTACGGATGTGTGTCACCACAATGACCAGTTCTGGCAGTCCTCTCTGGTCGAGGTAGACGCATGAGTAATGTTCTTATCGCACTACATCGTACCTTTACACACGTGTAAAGGCGGCCCCGGACGACCGGCGCCGTCGTGGCGCCGCGCCGGGCGGGGGGCTTTTTTCAGTAGGCGGCCTGCGACGTGCGCGCCGCGCGGAGCGGCGGCCGCGCGCGGAGCGGCCGGTCCGGGTCCGTGTGCGACGCGGCGAGGGCCTCGGGGGGCCGGGGCCCGCGGCGGTCGCCGTCGCCGAGGTCCTTGACCGACTTGCGGCGCGGCGCGTTCTCCTTGTCGTCGCCGAAGTCGCGCGAGCCCCGGGACCCGCGCGAGCCGCGGTCGAGGGAGACCGCGGGCGCGGACGCGCGGCGGTCCGCGTGGCGCGTCGACGCGGGCCGCGGGCGGCCGCGCGCGGCCTCCCAGAGGTCCGCGCCGTGCTCGAGGTCGCTCTCGGAGAGGCGGCGCACGCGCGGCTTGAGGCGCCCGTCCTTCGGGTTCAGGTCCAGGTGCCTCGCGCCGTCCCAGTTGCGGATGTCGTCCGCGCGGTAGTCGTCGCGCCGGTCGCCCCGGCCGATGGGCCCGAGCGTCGGCTTCGCGCCGCGGCGGCCCGAGGGCTCCCGGAGGGGCCGCGGCCGGCCGTCGCGCGGCGGCGCCGCGGGCCGCGCGAACTTGCGCGGCGGCCGGTCGTCGGGCGGCGGCCGGTCGTTCGCGTAGCG